TTCTGTCTGTGGCTATTAAAAACAAATCCTTCCACGCTGTCCCTCGGCCATGTCTGATCTCGGTCGCTGGGGGAAGCTGGCGGTTCGCCTCCCATCCCGAAGGAGAGCATCGCCTGTGCCTCGCGTCGCGCGTGTAGCTTTGTGTCAGCGTGCCGGTGTCCTGCTCTCAGACAAGAGCTGACTGAGCAGGAGGCAGTTTCTCTTCAGGCTGCTGAAACCTCGTTCCTTCCTTCTGGGGAGGAATTCCTGCCTTCTGGGCATAAAGGAGGATGAGTCTGATCCCCTCCAGAGAGGCTGGAGTTTCCCAGCTGCGGAGAGCAGCCCGCTGCAAGCCCAACGGCGTACCCTGGTCCGAGCACGCTGCTGCCGCTCACGCTGGGCAGCAGTTGCAGCCGGAGAGGGAAGGCTTCGATGGGTTTACCCCCAGCCCCAAGGAGGAGTTCCACTCGACCAGGAGTGAGACCTCCAGCAGGCAAAACCACTTCCGTACCCTAAACTCTCTGCTTCTATCAAATGCCACAATTTTTCCAGTCTTTCCCAAGCCTTAAAGCTATGCTTTTTTAGAGTAAAACAAGATACAGTTAGTAGGTGCACTTAGTGTCTGTCCCTTAGCAGTGCAGCTGCTTGAAGTTGCAAGATAACTGTTTAAATTTGAAACCTATCTATCTGTCCCAACTATTGCTATGTTTGGGCCTATATTCCTACCAGAGCAGCACCTTGTTCGTCAAATCCCATGGATACAAGTAACATTTACATAGGCAGTTGTGTGCAACTGTTTAAAGTAGAAACTGTTAAGTTCTGTATGTCTTTGGAAATAACGTGTGTTCTCTTGACACCCAAGTGCTGGAGTCTGAGCAAATGATTCTCCTGTGCGCCAGTTCTGTGCCGGGGGGCTGCAGCCCTCCCGGGGGTACTCGAGAGTTTTTCTTGCATGAGGTTTTCCAAGTATGAAGTACTGCAAAGCTTAAGTGTTAAAAAATTAAATTGCAATTAAACCGTTCACTTTTGGAGATAGGAAGTGTGTTTGGTGTGTGCTCGGTGGACATCCAGTCTGTAACGAAGACTGACAGATGAGCCCTTAAAGTGGTGTTTAAAAAAAATACCTGTTTTCAGGGCTGCGATGGCGGGGAGGGGATGCTGCACTGGCTTCCACTTACTGGTGCTGCAGCCCCAAATAACCGCAAAGGAAGGAGGAGTTGTTAGGGCACTGGCGCAGAGGGTTCAGGAATCACATCCGTAGAGGGGGTCGGGGACGGCACAGTTTTTCTAATTAGTTAAGCCAGACCTGCATTTTTCAGCTCATCAGAGTAAGGGTTACAGGCGAGGGGTGGGTTTCTGCTGTCAGCCCTGGGTGCCGTTGCTGTTGGCAGGGGTGGTGCTTTGCCCCTTCCTTCCAGGAGTCCCCTTTCCTAGGCTCCCCCTCTCCCTTTCCAAGGACCATCGCTGGCAGCTGGATGGAGGGCATGTGAGGGCAAGGCTGGAGAGCAGGAGATTCTGCACCCTTTGATGCCAATACCAGCTTGGTCTCGAACAAGTCGCTTGCCTCACCTTCCCTAGGTGAAGGCAGATGGTAACAGGAGACTGCTCATTTCTCAGGGCAAAGCAAGGACTAGCGTAAGGCATAAATCACTTGCCCCAGTCCAGTCACAGTCTGTGATGCCTCTCCAGCTTCGCTAACCTCAGGCTGTTTCCTCTTCATCTCACACGGCAATAAAAAAGCATGACAACCTTTTAAGATGGAGTTAAGAGTCAGAAGCCGTGTCGCTACAGGGATACGCCCTCGGTGTTCTCACCAAGGTGTGAGGAAACCGGATTGTCAGCTCCGGCTCCCCGAGAACATTGAGCACCACCAAACGCCCCAGAGGGACGGAGCCGTCCCAGGGCCAGGCAGAAGGTCCTCACAAGGGCTAGCTGTGAAGGGCTTTCTAAAAGCAAAACAACCACAGAAGATGCATCACTTCTATTGATTTTACTTTAGAAACATCCAAAAATAGGGTGGTTTTGTTAACAAAAGCTCTTGTTCACAATACTAATATGAATCTTCATGTAACAGTGCTCAAGAATGTTTTCTAAAATACACATTCATCCTTGAAAAAGGAGTTTCAAAGCAGTAAAATTCTTATCTGCTGTACCTCGTTTTAGATGCAGCACTGTTACAGATAGATAACTGTTGCTGGTGTTTCTTTCCCTCCAGACAATGAATTCTTTAGGACCCTCAAAAGAGAAACCATGCAAGCTAGAAGTTACTTAACTAGTTTAAGCTGGCTTTTTGTTTCTAGGAAGATAATAAAGTGCTCCAGAAATGGTGTTTTGCTGATATTTCACAGTGAAAAAAGAAAGCTAATGGAGCAACCATGAGAAATTCTTCTGCAGCCATTCCTGGAGGTAGTTAGGACAACGTTGTTAAGATTTTGGTTTCTGTACTTATGTTGAACTTAAAAGATGTCAGGAAACACTGCTTGTACTTTTTGGAGGTTTTGACCTTAAAGCTGTTCACCTTTTAAAAACTGAAAGATCTTGACTTTGGACCTAAATGTGTGTCTCACTGTGGAGAGCAGAAAACATGAGTTTGATACCAAGAGGCCATGGCGGGGGTTGGTTAAGCGTGGCACTAAAACACAGCGGGGCTCGCTACACAATGGATGCTAAACCAGGTTGTGCTTAGCTTAGGGAGTGATAAAGGGAGACTGCAACCAGGTGATGAGTCTGATGCAAAATGAGACTGTGTGGATGCATCAGAATGCTTCCAAGAAAGGCCCTGCTGAGAACAAAGCTTCCCCTCGCTGAACTTCTGTCTGTCATACTGGTCAGTTTGGATTTTCTTCTAAAACAATAATTTCTCTCTACTAAAGATCACTAAGCACACTGCACTGTCAGTATCTGAACTGTCTTTGAGTGTCTTCTCCAAGTACGTACTAGTTCACAGATCACACAGCAAGCTGCACACACAGCTAAGCCTCTGCTCCTGGGCTTTTTGGGGCCACTCAGGAAAACCTCCAGTCACATCCTGCCGCTGCCAACACGCAGCAGCACAGACAAGTTTGGTTTGTGATGGAAGGAGGAGAACGGGCTTAACAGATCAATCATAGAAATGCAAACCAGCCTTGAAGGCATTCAAATATAAGGTAGAGACAAGCAGCCTTTGCGAGGCAGACCGTCCTACTTTGAACTAGTGCATGAAGGGAAAATTAAATCAACGAGTCTGTGCTTGACCTCACTCCTCAAAGCAAAAGCTTTCCTCAGTCCTGAAAATAAAACACCAGTAATTCCATCAGTATCGGCCTTAAAACACTCACAAGCTCAACAATAAAACTGGAAAAGCCCAAGAGAAATTAGACAGGGCATAAGCTCAGATGTCGCTCGCAGTACAGGAATTTTCCCGCCCCTCTCCTTGGGACTGGTCAATGCAAACTTTCAACCGTTCCTTCAGACGGAGATGTGGCGCTTGGCCTCTCTGAAGGGGTCACCAGGCTCATCTCCCACTTCCAGACATGGAGGATATTGTCATAGAAAGAACAAGTTGCTACAATGCTCATTTCTTTGGGGCTGTCTAGAGACCTGGCAGAGTCACCGCTTCTGTCCAGACCCGTTCCGCTGCGTCTCTCAGCCCACGCGTCAGAACCGCTGCCTGACTCGGGATCTCCCCCCCGGTCAGGGCCCCCAGCCACCCCTCACCTTCCCTTCACCTCCAAGCCCCCAGCCCGGGCAGGATCCCCCGCTGCTTGGAGCAGCAAGGCAGGGCCTTCACTCTCCTCATCCAGTATTACATCAAAAGTAGCTGTAGGAGACTCATAAATTATCTTCAGGTTTTGGACCTGCAAACTCAGTCCCTTGTCTCCGTCCTCCGATCCTCCCACAAGCTCCTCCGAAGACCGGCACGCAGCAGCAGAGTCCTGTGTTGCAGTCAAGGAATCCCTCGGACAGAGCCTCGACCAGTCAGCCCCGTAGGCCAAGGAATTGTGCAAGACATACGATGACAGGATAGTACATTCCTCCGTGTTTTCCGCTTTAAAAAAGTAAACAAAAGCATGAAATGAGCAGAAATTACATTGCAAAACGGTTTGTTGCAGACTGCTCACAAGCCATTCTAGGAGAGTTCTCTGGTTATTGCGGTCTTCACAACAAAGTCAAGGGTTTTAGCAGAAATGAGGTACTGACTTTCCTGACAATTTTTCAGCCACCTCTCATTAGCCTTGACTTTCCCTGGTTCCATAAGCAGACAGGAGAAGATTTAACGTGCCTCAGCATGCATCATTACTCAAAATACCTAAAAAGGCTCAAGAAAGACCAGGCAGATCACACAGCGATCGCCACTCAGCCACCCGTACAACTGGTCAGATTGCCAGACCAGGTTCTGGTTATTAACAAATTGCAGATGTGTTCTTCCCGTGAGCTTTCTGACTCTGACGGCGAGTGGACATCAAGTTCCTCCCTTCCCTGTGCAGGAGCAATGTCCTCCTCTATTTGCAAGCTGTGGATCTGCCCAAGGCCTGGACAAACCCAGGAAGGCAACCATTTTGTGCAAGGTTGCATTTGTAATGTTAATGCAAACAGCTTTTAATCATGTAAATACCTTCTGATTCACATGGAGGGCTTATTCACGTTATTCTAGATTAACCAGACTGCACAGCACTTCCTTTCTGAGGCAATAACCAATTCACCAGCAGGTCAGTAACTTCTGCTGACAGGAAAGCACCACCTGACATTCAGAAGAACCTCTTTGAACCATCAAGATGAGTACAAACTGGAACGGTCATGTCAACAGGTAATACCTTCACAACAAAACAAACAGGCTTTCCTCCCGCGACAAGAAGTTACGAGAGACTTCCACGTGAACAATGACAGTGCTTTGCGCAACTGATCAGGCCAACAGCAAGGACAGGTCTGGGAAAGCCCAAAGAGTTACCTCCGGTTGGAATAAAAGTCTATGGCTATTAACAACATCTAGATCTGTCTAGCAAGCTCAGAGCTGGAGTTCCCCCATTAACCCGGCAGTAGGAAAGGAGAGCAGCAGAGCAGTGCAAGAGCACCTCTGTTCCACTGAACACTCACCCATGCTTCTGCGGCAGTCAAGGATTTTGAATCCACTCTGCATGCAGGCTGCGAGCAGCACAAAGTCACAGGTTGGGTGCCACTTCAACCTCCAGACTCCACCTTCAACGTGGGTGTCTGCCAGCGGCTGCTTCATGTTCCTGGTGTCCCACAACAGCACGTGCTCGTCGTAGCTGGAGACATATCACAAATAAACATGCAGACAAGCAGCAAAGCTGATTCAGTGCAACAAGTACAGAATAAAATTAGGAAAGATCGCATGCTCTTCACCGCACTGAATGTCTGAAGAGACCACACCTTGAGCAGTGGTAGCGTGTTCAAAACAACAGAGGCTGGTCACTCTAGTGAGGGGCAGCTAGAGGGGATTTACCTGCCAGTAGCCAGAAGATTCTCCCGGTGGGGACTGCACTGAATGCTGCACACACCCATGGAGTGTCTGCAAAAGAGCAACATACAGCAGAGGGACGAGACAGCAGTGCACAACTTGAGAAGGGATTCTTCCTTGAATGTCAAGGATTTGGGGTCCACATTACTGCATCAAGGTCTCGGGAAAGGAGAGTAAGGTGAACTCAAATTTCCGTCCGGTGAAATACACAGGCAGAGTTCCATCTACACAGTCTAACAGCCTTTCCAAGGCAAAACTTCCACTGACAGTGTCTCTCAGCAGAAATATTTTCTAGTAATAGTTGTACCATAAACTGCTGGTCAGAGCCCGTAAGAATTTCAGCACAACAACTCTGTTCCCAGGAGACTTTACTCCCAACATTAACATTTCCATAGCAATAATCCCCAGTGTATTTTATGGTTACATGTAGAATTTCACTGGAGAACTGTGTATATTATTTTAATCATATTCTAAAAGATATGTGATGCCACCAGAAGAAAGAAATTACTTCGCATGAGTGAACAGTGGAGAATAAAATATTTTCTAAAACACATTCCATAATAAGACATCCAAACTTCACACACACAAAAATTCCCCAAATAAAGGCATAAATCAGGATTCTTCTTTTACAAAGAAGCTACGACCATCTTCACGTGTGGACGTGAGCTGTTGGTTTATTATACCGAAGACACAGAGAAGAAAGTTTCAACCTGAAGTTGCCCTGATGAAAAAACCTGTTAGATGTCTCCATTCCCCGAGAGACAGAAACGAGACTCCACCATCACTGTGCATCTCAGAATTCCGTGGCTTGGGAAGGGACACGGTAACACCGTATGTTCACACACAACAGCTTCAGGGTCCAGCTGCAGACACGGCTTGCTTACCTCCTGCTGGTGAAGACAGGAGCCTCTGGACTGCACCGGGTGTCCCAGCCCTTTAGCAGGCTGTCGTCTCCTCCTGCACAGGGACAAAACATCGTCAATCCAAACACCGTCCAAATGGCCAGCGCAGGGCACCGAGGCAGCGCAGTCAACATCCAGCTGATGCTTTCACAGAATCACAGGATGTTCGGGCTGGCAGGGACCTCTGTGGGTCACCCAGCCCAACCCCCTGCCGAAGCAGGGTCACCCAGAGCAGGCTGGACCGCACCACGTCCAGGCGGGGCTGGAATATCTCCAGAGAAGGAGACTCCCCAGCCTCCCTGGGCAGCCTGGGCCAGCCCTAGGCTCTCACAGCATTTAACGGACATCACCTGAGGCTCACAGTACTCGTCACCACAGAAGAGACATGCATTAACAACACCCTCTCTGTGCTAAGCAAAAAAATAATTTGAAGATAAAAAGACTGGACTCTAGCAGCTCTCTGGCTCTCTGCCACACACCACAAAAGATTATCATCTCTTTCGCCAACAGCCAGACAAAGTACAGTTTAAAAGGCGCCTCTTCTCCTAATTAACTCCAAGCACTTCCCACAATCAAGAAGCCTTTTACCCCTAGCAAAGGCCCCAACTCTTACAAGCGGTGTGATACGAGCAGCGTACCCAACCCTGGAAAGTAAAGTCCCAAGGAAATCACGTCCCTAAACCAGGTGCCCCCTCCCTGACACCCCCAAGTGAGATTCCCAGTCCTTACAGACCTGAATACACAATATCGGTGTCCCAGTAATTAAAAGCAGCAATCCAGGCCTCAAATTTGTGAGCTTCCCACTGGTTCAGGACATGCACAGAGGGAGCAGATTCATCTATGGAGAAAAGATTCAGCTTCCCCTCTGAATCACTGCTGATCACTCTCAAAGGGCATCCACTACAGTGGAATACAGAGAAAACATTAGAAATTACTGAAATTCATGTCCTAAGAAGCTGTTAGAGTAAAAAATAGCAGCCAAAGCACAGACAGATAACATAATACTATATGTGTTTGATTCAACTAAACATTGATAGAAACCAGCAGGCAGTACAGTGGAAGGAATGCACAGATTTCTACAGCCCTTTTGAGCTTTGGCCCATCCCATCTTCAAACCATCTACATCAGTGATCCCCATTCCCCGATCTCACAGGGGGAACAAACTGCTCACGCTCATGGGAGGGAAAGAAAACAGCCCTTGGGTCTTTCCTTCTCCTAGATGCATAACTTGACTTCTCACATGCTTGGTATTACATCAATAAACGCATTCCATGTGTAGAGATGTTTTTTCTCCTCCAAGTCAGACTGACAAGGACCTCTCAGAGTCTCTTCCCTCTTCTGGAGTATGAAGCAATGTTTTATTTCCCTGCTATCACAGACATCTGAAGCACTGGCTGATCCTGACCTTTCCTGCTCTCTTCTTCTGGCTAGCACAGTGGCAGTTTCTGCACACAGCGTTCTTGGAGCGCTGGCAGAAGCTTTGCAGCTCACAGCGCACAGATTTTCTGACATTACCCGACATGAACTAGGTGCCTTCTGTTTGGTTACCTGAAACTGTAGGTACCGATTTGGTGGCTCAGGGCTTCTTTCCATTTCTACATCACACGCTAGTTACTAAGTCGTACTGCATCTCCCAAACTTCCACACGAGAGAGACAGGGTCACCCCCTTCCTACAGAGATGTGCAGGCTGCACATCCGGCTTCTGGAAGGGGTTATTTGTCTCTCAAATGACAACAGTGACAGGCTTTAAAGGGACCTTTCATCATGGCAACGGTCATTTATCTTGAAGGGCAGAGACAACGGGAAGAAGGAAGGTAAGGAAGACAAAAGTAGAACTGGGAATTCTACTTATTCATTAAACAGCATGCACAGAAACAGCTTGAATTAGCCAAAGCTACTAAATACTTGCCCTGCAGCATTAAGCCCACGACTGCCTGATCCCCCCCATTTCCAGGCTCACACCAAAGGCACCACTCTCTGTTTTGCACTTAACTTACAGAAAACACATACCCTACCTCTCTCAAGGTACAGCTAACTCATGTTATTTCATGCAGTGATGCCATTTCTGACACCAAATGTATGAGCATTCAAGAGAGGAAGGAGCCGCTTCCAAACCAATTCTCTCCTGATTCTCACTAACCCACGTCTAAACTTCCCACACGGGCTATTATTAGCAGTTGTTAAGCAGAACTTCACACTAAAATTTCAGCCATAAGAGCAGAGCTGGAACCAGCGGATCCATCTGCATCCCATTCTGGTCTTTCCTTTTAGCAAAGGCAACAGAAGACGTGTCCCTGGCTCACCTGCCGCCATTCACCGTAGCATAACCTCACATTTGTTCTTGGTTCAGTCTCTGTTATGGTGGCCACAGTACGTTCTTGTTCCTTTGTTCCCCTTTCTCTGGAAGTGGTAACTTCTAGAAAAGGCGCAGGAAGACAGCTGGGGGCCAAGAAAGTCTTAAACCACAAAAAGCCACCAAAGGTTTAATCATCAAAGCCCTCAACTTATGGCTGAAAACTGTCACATCCACAACAACCTCCACGGCCAGCCCTTCTCTCCCATCCTCACCATTGCTCTCGTCCTGTGGACCAATCTAAAGACAACGCCAGACGCTGTGCACCGAGATCGACCCTGAAGCACGGCTCCAACATGCAGCTGTTCTTCTACTGAAAAGAAAAGGAGTGGGTTAAGACTGCGAAGACAGCAGGTGTACAACAACACGCGTGCTGCTGACTCCTGTGGAAGGCGTCTTCCCGAGGCTGATGAGCATTAGGGTCCCACACGACAGAAGAGATCAACTGTCCCATAGCAACGTACACCCGCTTAGTACTGCTGAAGGGCAAACATACATACACACGCACAGGATCCCCACCCTCCTGCTTCCCACCTCCCAGCAAATCCCCCTTAGACTTTGCTTGCTCTCAGTGAGTGATGAAGTGCAGGGGAAGCGATGACCTGACTGCCGAACACCCTTACAGACTGGCTTCCGCTTTCTTCGCTCTGTGGGAACGGCTCGCCCGATTCCTCCCTTCTCTCACCAACAGAAAGAAATCCCTCTCCCAAATTCTTCCTTGCTTTTAACAACCATGCCCCTTTTGCTGCGTTTACCAGTTAGTGCACGCTCTCAAGTGACAGCTTCCAGGGTTTGCTTCTGCTCCCCTCATGCCTCATTCTGCAGCTGGGTAGAGCCCAGCCAGTCTCTCTGGTGCCATCAACAAATTTGTGGGATTTATAAGAAACATTATCAGAAGACAAAAGAAGAAGTGTTTAAAAAGCTGAGCATACTGAGGAAGCCATGGAAACCATACAGCCTTCCTGCAAGTCTCGGCACACTGCTAATAAATACAGAGATACATCAAATACAGGTGAAAACCAGCTCCAACAGCAGCAGGCGTTACGGCCACCTACCTCGCTTCCAGTCAAGTGGCAAAACTCCACGGCGCCTGTCGAGTTTGCAATGCCAACCATGGGATGTTCTGCAACAGGAACATGGCACCTGTAAGGTCAAGTTAAGCAAGTCTCGAATGTCCGTATTTCTCGTATTTTAAGAGAAGAGCAAAGTCATAGCTTTTATTCCAGGACAGACAAGGAGAAGGTACTTGACCAAAAAAATCTCATTAAGCATGTCTAAGGCTACTCAAGTTCCCACAAATCTGCATGAAGGAGATTATATATAGGGGAAATCTACTATATATGATTATATAAATACAAGAGGTCCACAGTCCCTGACCAGCTGCTCATCAGTGCGCAGAAGAGCGTAACACAGAAACGCGTGCAGCCTTCGCTCACTGGAACAAGCCGGAGAACACCTCCCTGCACGCAGCCAGGGAGAGCTGAGCTGCTGACCGTCGCTGTTCCTGCCACGCCAACGGCCGCAGCGGATCC